ACCCTAACCCTAACCCTACCCTAACCCTAACCCTAACCCTAACCCTAACCCTAACCCTAACCCTAACCCTAACCCTAACCCTAACCCTAACCCTAACCCTAACCCTAACCCTAACCCTAACCCTAACCCTAACCCTAACCCTAACCCTAATCCTATCTCTAACCTTAACCCTAATCCTATTCATAACCCTAACTCTAATCCTAATATTAACTTTAATCTTAACCCAAATTCTATTCCTTACCATATTCCCTATTCGTAATATATATTATATCATGACACTAATTCTAATCTTAGTTCTATCCTTAATTTCTGACCATATTTCTAATCTCTAACTCTAATTATATCTTTATTATTATTTCCTAATCCTAACTTTTATCATAATATTAACATTATCTTTAACCTTTTTAATGTGTGTAATCCCATTTTTAATCATATCATTATCCCTTATCATAATCCTGGTATTAACCTTGGTCCTAAGTATAATCCTAATTTTATCCCTAATCATGTTCCTGATCCTAACACTAATAATAACACTAATATTAGTATCTCATACCAATATTATGTGTATTCCTTTATTGTTTCTTCGTGTTGTGAACTGTTGTTATGCATTTATGTATTCTATTTTGCTATGTTAATATCATCGTGTTCGTTGTATAGCTGTAATTATTTTTCTCTGTTATGTTAATGTATTCGCTCCGCTATGATAATGTATTCGCTCCGCTATGGTAATGTATTCGTTCCACTACGGTAAGGTATTCGCTACGCTATGGTAATGTATTCTCCCGTTTATTTGTATAGCTTTTTATTTTCTTTTATTTATTTTTTTTACTGTTCTTATTCTCTCTTGTTTGTTTTTTTTCTTTATCTCTGTTATTATTGTTATTATTTCTTTCTACTTTGTCTATTTCTTTTGTCTACCCCTTTCCCCTTTCCTGTCATTTTTTGCGTATTCTTCTCTCCTTTTCTGTGTTTTTTTTTCGTAGTTTCTTCGTCCTTTATCTTTCTATAATTCTTCCTATTCCATTTCCTCGTCTCTGTGTATTTTATCCCCTATTCCTTCCCTTTTTTTCTTGTTTGTTTCTCCCTTTCCTCTGTATATACTTTGTTTTTGTTTTTCTCTCTTTCCATTCTCTCTACCCCCCCTTCTCTGTCTGTGTTTTTGTCCACCTTTCTCTTTTTCATATATCTTTTCTCTGTTTATATTTGCGTTTTTGCTTCTCCGTTTTTTTCTTTGTTTGCTTGTTCTCCCGGTCTCTTCCTGTGATTTATCTTCATATTTCCCTTTTCTGTTCTGCTTATATTCTTTATCCTCCTTCTCGAACCTTTTTCTTTTCGACTTTTTTTCTCTATTTATTCCTTTCCGTTTCTTTATCGCATTTTCTTTCCTTGACATTGTTTCTTTCGCCTTTCTTTTATCGTTGCCTATTTTCTTCTTTCGTGTTTATTTTTTTTGATTTACTTCTCCTTTCGCTTTCTTTACTTCATTTCTCTTTTTTTTTGTCGATTTATTCTTACTCTTTTCTTTGCTTCTTATTCTTTACATTACTTCCATTTCTTTCGTCTCTTTGCTTTCCTACCATCTCCTTTTATATGTCTTTTTTCTTTGTCTCATATATTACGTTCTGTCTTTTCATGGGTTTCTTTGCTTCCCTTTATTGATTTTGCCTATTATTTGTATTTTTTTTCTTAACTGTCTCAATTTTTCTAACTGTTTTGTTTTATTTATTCTTTTGCATTCTTTTCTGTTTATTTGTTTTGTTCAATTTCTCTCTCTTTCTATGTATTTACTTTTTATCATTTTAATTCCTATTTTGTCGGGTCCTTGTTTATCCTGTATTCCTTCCCATACTTGTTGTTGCTTCTTTTCTTATTATCTCAGTCTCATCCTTTCCCTTCTTTGTTCTTTTCTTAGTATCACAACCATTTCTTATTCTTTTCATTATTGCTTTGTTCTATTCTGTTTTGATTTTTTCTTTTAATTTTCACTATTCATTTTTTTATCATATTCCCTCTTTTATATATATTCTTTGTCTAATACTCCAATCTCTTCTTATGGTGTTCTTACTTTTTGTTTAATCCCTCCTTTTTTTTCCCTTTGCTCATTCTTTTGTCCTATTATATCAACGTTTGTTTTGTCGGGTATCATATTAAAAGCCGATGATAAATTGTATCTTGTTCATCATTTTCCTCCATTGTTATTTCTCATTATTGATGAGTGATGTTGATGACTTATTTAGGATTTGTGATAACATATCGAGAAAATGTAATGCTAACTAACCATTGACGCTTGATAGCATACTTATAAGTTGGCTGGTGCTCTCTCGTTACTGTTAATAGCTTTTTATATTTTTTTAATAGTAAAACTGATATTGATTATAACAGTTTAATGATATAATGATTTCAAACTATTTTTTTACTAATTATTCCAGAGCACGCTCTATGTAGTGGTATATATGAGACCGCTCAGTGAAGCAATCTCTGGTGAGATAATAACTGGATAACATTTTTTATAAGTTCGCATACGCGAACTGGGCTATCTTCGGCTATCTTAGGCTACTTTCCCCTATTTTTCAAACACCGAGGAGCTCGGTGTTTGAAAAATGTTATTAGAAATGATATCTCATGTATCAAGGTATCTAAGCACCGTGAGTCTTGCTTCTGATTGGCCATTCAAATGATACCTGTAGTAATAGGATATCCTATTCTTATGTATCACTTACACTTTGTTCTGATTGGCTTTTAACATAATGCCCATGGTACCCATGGTACCTAAGGTACCATTTCTGGACGACTCACGGCGTGAGTCGTCGAGAAATGATATTAGGATATATTTTTTTATAATTATTATTTTTAACCACCAACGATATTGCATTTATGTCTACCAACCCATAAATACTTGGATGACTGGACCGTTCAGACAATGATTGCACCCGGCAAGAAGGCTCCAGTGGATCTTGAAAGCTACTTGGCTATTTTTGTGGGCGAAGTTCGTGATCTTAGTGAACACGGCATGCTGGTTCGAGTGAATGGTGGTGAAGTTGCCCGAGTAAGCGTTCATTTGTCAATGGCGATAGGCGATCTTGTAGAAGTATCACATTTGATGTTTCATGGAGGAGTCTCCAGTCAATTTGGCTGTATGAGATGCCCCATAGACACACAAGGAGGCCAATGCTTTACTCGCACAATCAGAAATTTCCAATACAGAACTCTCGAACAACTGAAAGCACCACTGCCTGTTGGCGTAAAACATGTGTTTGTAAGTGAAGCGATTTCATTAAACAGTCATGTATAGTTCTTGTACCAACCATCATCTCTTCTATAGAACATCAAAGGACCATCCATATTTACCACTCTCAAGTCTTTTCCTGCCAACCCATCGTTCTACGGTCTCGACACACTTCACCTACTGAGCATTGGATTAGCTAAGCATTTGTACGAGCTCTTGTCTTCTCCATTGCATCCATCCAAGTTTGATAACCGATACAAGCCCTCTATCGAAGAACTGAAAGAAGCAAAGCTTGATAAAGCAAGTGCCTGGCCTTACACCTTTGATTTAGATCCCAAAGTTCTGGCAAAGATCGGTCAGTATGTAGCTCAGTCAAAGAAGGCCATTCCAACTACCTTCAATGCACCATTCAACGACATTTTTGCACCAGGAGGAGTTACCAACTACCGAGCAGTTGACTATGAAGAGTTTATGATTTTCATTGTTCGAGCCCTGATAGCACCACACTATCCTGACTCAATCAGAAAACCTCTTCTGGGTATCGTTAAAGTGGCAGCTTTGGTATTGCAGAAGAATGAATTGCATGCTTCAGACTTACAATTCATAGAAGCGTAAGTATTGGCATCTTGAATAACAAAACCCGTTTTATCCACAGACTAACAACTTACTTCTTTCTATCTCTGCACAGTAAGGTTAACGATTGGCACAAACTGCTGATCACTGAAATCAAAGCCAAACGCCTTCCTATCAAGACCTTTCGACCAAACGCCCATTATTTAGGACACTTGACTTACATGATCAAAGCGCAAGGTTTACCGGCTTCGACTTCCAGTCGATCTATCGAAAGATCCATCGGCAGGTACAAACGCTTGATAAGTGCTCGCACAAATGTTGGTATAAATGCCGGAAACATCATTGATCGTTTGGCAATTATGCGAGCCATCAAGGCATCTACAACTGGTGATGGTACAGGCGATGGTGAAGACAAACTGAATGATCTGGATGCTCGAATCAATCTCTTAGTGCCTCGACGATACGATCCAACTACCTTCGTAGATCTAAAGAATGACAATGGCAACGGAAGTCAGCTCTGGTATCCAGTCATCCACACAACGGTTTCAAGTATTCCAACCTCCATCAACGTCAACACACCTCTTTTTGTCAAGGCTATACAGTCCTACTACGACCGGCAATACTCGACTAATGTTCTGCAGAATGTCCATATCAATGATCAACTGGATATTGTCGTCTCTGGAAGTGCCTGGGCTTACAACTGCACTTATCGTTCAGAATACTATCGCGATCTCACCGGTGCTAATTCTAGAGGAAGCCACTACATCATGGTATCGGCAGAACACTTGAGGTATGTCAATTCACAGGTTCATTATTGCCTTTATCGTTACTCATCAAGACCCACATTGACGTCTGAATTTCCTATAGTAACTCTCGTCGCAAGGTCAAAGCTTTCTATGTAGGGGCTGTTATTTTCATGTTCAAGCTCGAAATTGAGGGGATTGGCGATGAGTTGTTCTTGCTTATTCGATTGGGAAAGACTCATGCTGTTGACGACAAAGACAAGACGATGCCCATAGTGGAGCTGGATGATGACCAGGATTCATCCGCATATCTGGTGTGCACATTTGAGCAGGTCATTTGCCGAGTTGGTCTGATGCGTTTTAGCGAGAATGACAAGATATATAAAGTGATAACGAAGGAAAAGGTTTTCCGGGCCTCGATAGAGACTTATAAACCTGGAAAAAACTCATTGGTGCTACCTCAATAATAAAGATAAATATAGAATTTATCATCGTATTATTACCCCCAACAAGTTAACAGACATTCAGCTTCATGATGTCGTTGTCCTCTTCTTCGTTTCTTCCCTTTTAGCTTCTGACATCAAAGACATCCCATTCAGCACACTACACAACGCTCAGTTCCTTTAGTATGTGCCGAAAAGCACCATTAATTGCGGAGTAGGTGCCCCAACCTTAACTTGAGTAAAACACTAGTGCGAATAGCACTGTTACCAGACAATGGCATCTTAAATTGTATGAAATTCCTATTTTTCCTTCATTCAATTGCCAATGCTTTTATGTCCCACCCTTGCTATTAAAACTTAAGCGTGTATACAAAACAGATTCCGACAAATGTCTTCTTTTTTGCCGTCTCCCTCGCCTTCCATTCTCTATTTATTTCTTCCTTCTGTTTTCCCCTCGTCCAACTATTACTTAAGGCTTTGAACACTGATTTTTTGCAGATATCAACGAAACACAAGGGCCACGATGGTTAAAATTCCGCCCACAATAATCTTTTTGCTCTTGTAAACCGGAAAGGTTCTATTGGGCTTTTTCTCCCGTATCTCTAAGATGATTTTTACCACTTTTAGCATCAAATAGGTGTTTCCTACTGCTTTTAGCGCTGAATACGCTGCTAACTCCTACTTTGAGGCGGTATTTTAAATACAAAAGACTTTCAAGATCCAACGCAAATATGATTCTGACAAATTTCAGTTTTCCCCTTTCCTTCATGGTTTATACGGTATTCTTCGATGGATGTTTACTTGATCTCCCTTAGCTTTGATAGAATAGTGATAGATCTGCCGTTCCATTGTACACATAGGAAGGTATTACGAAAAACACCGAGAAAACTTTAGATATTGATATTGTGCTCAATTTCCTGCCTAAACATGCAGAACAAAAAAGCTACATAAGAACTAGACACTTTGATAAATCCAAAAAAAAAAACTATCCTGAACACCGCATATGCAACAATCAATTTTCAACTGCGAGATAAAGTGTTTAGAGGCCATTCTCTTTAGATTTGTTCCGGAAACGTATATAACAAACTAGATGTATAAGAAGAGGAAACATTGGGCAATCGTATTATTATTCTTGAGCACCCGATGGCCATTTGGGAATTCATAAATTGACATTTACTCGAAAAATATGCCTAATTTGCTTCTTTTTACATATGTTTATAGATAGATTTTGAAATCTTCGTTAGGCTATAACAAAGCATACTTGCTGCAATCTTTATTTTAACGTTTCATATACTAGAAAAAGTTGTTTTTGTGTAATATATTTTGTCCTTACTTCCTCAAATGGTCAAGCACTTGATGTACATCCGTTTTTTGTGATACCACTGATAGTTCTTCATTGAAAAAAAATCCAATGCACCTTCAAAACCCCAATTTTGGTGCAAATGATCTAAGTCTTGGTGCTTTTACTCTAAACTTGGTGTATTTGCACCAAGGTTTTCGCCGTAGTATTTGAAGTGAACTAGACTAGATTCCCATCATAAACAAAGCCCAAAATAAATGTCATCTCAATCAAACCATGCTACCATCAGCAGATAGGCATGCATAATAATAGTATTAGCATGATGATAGCAAGGGTTAAATGCTCTAAAATAAGGGATGACAGATACTAAAGTAAATGTCAAGGGTATTGTAATGTGTTATAACATAAATATACCTAAAAAGGATACAGGCTGAACAATAAAGAGCTATTCTTTACGCATGATTCAAAATCCATATATTGAAATACCGTTCTTGATCCATCAGATCAACAACTAAATGAACCAACAAAAATATATAAAGTAATGGAATCACTGGCAACTACTAAACTGCTGCCAGATAGGAGATATAAACCAAATAATATAAATAGAGACGTAGAATATACATTTTATTTCACATTATCCTAATTTCGAATAAAGAAGGATTTTAACAGTATTCTACCTGCTTTTTTAACCCCTTTTTACTGCAGTGTTTCTGAGCTAGAAGTCAGAATTGAACAGGAATAGTATAAATTCACAAAAGAAGACTGTCTTAAATACATAGGCAGCATGCCACGCCGAATCAAAGCGGTTATCAAGAGTAAAGATAGTCCAACTAAATATTAAGTTTTTTTATAAAATTTAATAAATTCGACTTTTCACTTTTCATGAGGCTACCATTCTTTTTCTAATTACGTAAATAAAGTGCATAATATATCATCTAATAGCCAACTACTTAGGCTATTTATGAAACTAAGCAAACCACAGTAGCTTTGATATTTGCAGAGAAAACTGGCTATAAGTGCAATATGGCAAAACACTGGAACGTTTTTTTTCGCGCACTGTAGGTTGTAATTTATAGCTTATAAAAAAAATGTTGGATATCATAAAGACAAGAAAAGATATCATTGTTTAGGATATAGATCATCTCTGAGAGGCAAATGTATTAGGCGTTGTATATGACATAAGAGGATCTGAGAATGAGCTGAGATGCATAGTAGAAGTGAGAGGTCTTTATTCAAGCAGCACGAAGGAACATGAGTGGTGCCACCAAATGGCTAATCTATATCCTGGTTCCTAGAGAGTGGTAGCCTATGGCCTTTCGTCCCTGGAAGTGGGTTTCAATTCCGACAAATGTTCTTCCGTCAAAGCCATTAGGAAGAACATTCTATCCTGGATCATCTTTGTTGTTTATCCTTGACGGGTGGTTCATGAGTTCTGATGCAGCACATCCTCGTTACAGGTTCAAGGCTTATACAATTATCCCGCATTCAAGATCAAGGTCCTATTGCTGCGGCACTGTCAAATAACTATAAATACCTTTGATATCTACACTAGTTTTGATCATTATTCAATCTTGGAATAACATAATAAATATATTCAGTTCTAATTGTATTTACTCTATATTTCGTTATTCTAAACAATCATTAAAAAAGATAAAAAAAAGAATTAAAAATTTATTGAAGAAAAGAGTTATCCTATTTATACTAAAATCTGAATGCCAAAGTAGCATTTTATCCTCACAGCGCTTACCACTTCGGGTGAGCCCCAGCATCTAGAAAACTGAGATGCACTTCAATTATCATTGCTTGTCCATGTTGTTGCACAACACAGGTATATCTACCCATCAAGAATACCTTAATCTTTATAGAAACTTGTAGCCTTTCAAGCACAACATTTAGGGCTTTGTTTAAGTTGGGAAACTAGTCTAGTTCACTTCAACCTGAAAAACTCCGTTTTTTTTTCTTTACCTTCGACAGTCAAAAAACCACATTATTTCGATTTTTTCCATGGTAAAAAGCAAAAATATTTCACTTTTGGTAGATGTATCGATGCATGCACTACGGCCCAACTGATGTTCTCATGAGAACATCGAGGTGCTCATATAAGAATCTATTTTATGTTCTCATTCGAGAGCATCGATGTTCCCAAAAAGTGGAAAATGCTCTCATATGGGAACATCGGCGTTCCTAAAGATCTATTATAAGTCGGCCGATGTTCTCATAAGAACATCCGAGATGTTCCCATATGAGCACATCCATGTTCTTAAATAAGAGCAAATGTAGCTGTTTATGAGCGCATCGATGTTCTCAAATCAAAATATCGATGTTCTTAAATGAGCAAATCCATGTTCTCAAATGAGAACATTCATGATCGCGCATGAACCTATCGATGAGCTGAAATGGGATCATTGAAGGTCTGAATCAGCTTAAATATTTGTAGCTTTTATTGGCCCATAATTCGTGGTTTAAATATTGGCAGCTTTCATTGGCTCAGAAATTGTGGTTTGAATATTTATACATTTATTATTGGTTAATTTTAATGGGTAAACGAAGGCTACGTGCCAAAAACGTGCAATAGTAAAGCCTTGTAGTGGTAATGGTCATGCTGTAGGCTATAGTAGAGTCAAAGATAATTGAGAATAATAGCCTGGATCAGTATGAACTGTTTCGTGTTTCCCAATATTATCAGTTTTTAGGGCAATATAAAAGTGATGTTTCCAGGCGAGATCCAGAGAGAGCATAGAATGAAAAGGTTGAAGCCATCAACAGTGTTCCATGTAGAGCAACGAATTGTACAAAAGCCAGCATAATATCAAAGATGTGCATGTACCTATCAGCAAAGATGTGAACTGAATCAAGTTAGTAAAGCGTTCCAGCAAAGGCGTAATGACTACAATACCTCTTTCACAAGACAGATAGAAAGTACAGCACACCACCAGGCAGCGACTCATTGGGAGCAGACATTCTTGAAAAGAAAACATCGAACGAATGTTAATGCGTCTTATGCCGTCAGAAGAATCAGATGTATAGACCGCATCATTCAACTATGAAGCATCTGCCATTGTTCACTGGATGCAAAAGGGGATCCATAAAGTATGCAAGAGATGTGCTCAGTTATCAAGCCAAACCCGCCAGACCCACTCGACGCTGGCACTAGTTAACTTATCAGGTGAGTAACGACTGATTTTTCCTGATGATGCAGCAAAAGATGACTTACTACTTGAACAGTGATAGCAAGAAAGCAGATAAATGGAACCAGCAGGATGGAGGGAAACGGTTAACCAAATGGCATACTTGCGACATCGAAATTGACCTGGCAAAGTCGCCTTTACATTTCTACAAGATATTTGTTAGCTTTTATATGGCAAGAAGCATTGGACATACCATAAATTTGTTGTTTCGAAAGGATGTAAATGAAGATTCCATCCTGGATACTATGGCAGGGATATGAAGCTTCCCACGGCGCACATTTGAAATGGTATTCCTTCTTCAATGGCATTGAAACCTAGCCTCCACCTTTAAAGCCATGGACGGTAAATGCTGCCTCTTCTTCTTGCTGCTACAGAGCACATGTCTCTTATGCTGATAGAATTAAAGTGAAAATAGATGAAAAATGAAGAAAAAAGAGAAACAAAAGCACTTTTTTCTCAAGGGATGACCTAAATATACAAAGTTTCGATCTAAAAATATAGAAACACGCTCTAATCATGCACAGTATCAGACTGAT